TGGTGTCATTATTGGGTACGGAATATATTTGGGCCAGTACTTTTCACGAGCGGCTGTGACACTGTCTCTGGCTTTGTGACATCACTTGGGGAAATGGCAAGGAGATGATTAGATGATAAATCTCCAAACTTTCCACTGGTGTCCCAAAAATCTTCATCGTGAAACACTAGTCTCCCTTTTCATAGCTTTGAGGAGACATTTGGGGTCCTCTTTTTATTTATTTATTTTTATTTATTTTATTATTATATTTTTTTTTTTGAGACCCAGTAGTCTTGCTTGTTGCCACAGGCTAGATGTGAGTGCCGTGGCGTCAGACTAGCTCACAGCAACCTCAAAACTCCTGGGCTCAAGCGATCCTGCTGCCCTCAGCCTCCTGAGTAGCTGGCTAGGCAATGCGCCAACATGCCCCGGTAAGTTTTTCTATATAAATTTTTGAGTTGGTCAAATTAATTTACTTTCTATTTTTTAGTAAAGATGGGTTCATTGCTCTAGGCTGGTTTAAACTCCTGACCTTGAGAGTCAGTTCACCCGCCATCGCCTCCCCAGATGCCAGGATTCAGTATGGGGGAGCCCACCGCGCCGGCCCTGGTCCATCTCTAGTCAGCTGCCACTTCATCTTGAAGCAGCTGAGTCTGTGTTTCAGCAAAATGTTTCCGTGTTGCCTTGGCCTTGTCGTTGGTGGTGGCGCGCAGACCAAGGCAGGTAGTTTGGTACTCCACCACGCTTCACATACCACGTGGCTCAGAAGGCTTGGAGCAGCAGCAGATGTCATTCTTGCAATAGAAAGCTGTTGGCCCTCGTGGTTGCTGTGTTCTTTTCTTTGGAATACAGTGGGGAAGCTGCAAGGGCAGTACGTGTAAGGACTAGACCTACCTGCCCAGTACCGAATCCAGCCCCTGACTTACTTGCTGTGTGATTCCTGGGCAAATGACCTTCACCTCTGTGTGCCGTGTTTCCGAAATCAGTAAGTGAAGACTAAATGGTATCCATCTCTTAGGGTTGTTGCAAGGATTCAATGTAGTTAATGTGTCAAATGCACTTAGGACAGTTCTGGCACATAGTAGGCCTAATGTAAATGTTAGTGCTGCAGTGGTTATAAAAAACATTGTATAATGCAATATAACATTGTCCTTTAGAATCTTTTTTTTTTTTTTTGATACAAGAATCTTGCTTCTGGTTGCATGGGCTGGAGTGCCATGGGTGTCACCTGGCTCACCCAGTAACCTCAAATCCCTGGGCTCAAGGCAATCCTCCCTGCCCTCAGCCTCAAAAAAAAACGAGTAGCTGGGACTACAGCATGCACACACCAATTCGCCGTAAATGTTTTTTATATATTTTTGTTGCGCAATCTTCTTTATTTAGTAAGACCGGGTCTCCTCCGTTGCCAAAGGCTGGTCTCAAACTCCTGACTTACAATCTCCCCCTCAGCCTCCCCAGAGTGCTAGGATTACTAGGTGTTGACCATTGCACCCGCGCGTCAATGTTAGATATTTTAATGCTGTCCGGTAACATCTGAGACATACATTGATTTACTTCACGTTCTTATACAAAATAATGGTATCTATACAAAAAATACCCCAGTGTTTTCACACTTTAGAATGGTAATGGCAACCAGGAATCTGCAAACTGGGAGACAGTGCGAACGTCCTCATTGGCCGCTGAGCAGAGTTGTTCAACCCCAGAGACTGCCCAGAGAGGGAGCGGGACCAGCGGGTAAGGGTCACTGTCTCCTGCACCGCGGCCCTCTCTAAGCGCTCAGTACACAGCAAGCGGCCTCCAGGAGAAACAATAAACCTTGATTGATTGTTGGATGAAGTTCAAGGCTCAGCCCAGCTGTTTTTCCTTTTTTGATTGTGCTGGTACGTACCTCCCTCATTCATCAGCAGATATTTTCCGAGCACGTCCCGAGGGCCAGGCTAGGGTGAGCAGGCCAGGCAGGGAGAAGCCAGCAGCGAACGAGCCGTCAACCAGCCAGGGTGGCACGACCTATGCAAGTCTGACTGGTCTGTGTGTCTGTCTGCTCCGCGCCCCTGCAGGAGCTGTCGCAGCTGGAGCTGGCTCTCCAGGCATCCAGGCAAAATGGCACTCGGCCCCAAGAGGTGCTTCTGGTCCTCGGCACAGACAAGAATGTCTTCCTGCAGCTACAGGCCCCGGGCATCCCACTTTACCTGGCCTATGTGAGTGCGTTACCCCTAGTCCCAGGCTCAGGCATTGGCCATGGGAGGTCCCTGTGTCCTTCTCTGTGGACCAGGGTCTCCCACCCCAGTGGCCAAGCCCTGCTTCTCCTGTTCATCTGACACTCTCAGGGCCTGACAAAGATGGCCCAGAGCGCAGCAGGACCTCGGGTAGAGTCCGGACCTGGAGGTGGGAATCGGATTGACGTTCAACCCTGGCCAACTCCGGTCCTCATATAGCCTCAGTTTGCCCATCTGTCCAGTGGAATAATCGCACCCAATGATATTCCATAAAATAATCTTTTCACTTTTCATAAAGACATATATTGGAAAATATTTCCATCCAGAGGGAAAGGGCCAGGAGGAAACCTCACGAGGTGTTAACAGTGGTCATGGCTGGGAAGTGGGATTAGGAGAGACATTTATTTTGTTCTTTGTACTTTGTTGAATTTGCAAGAGTTGCTTTAATTGACTTGGCCTACTTTGGAGAAAAATTATTTTTAAAAAGTCAGGCTGGAAGTGTTGGACACATCGACCAAAGAGAGGAGCTCAGCTGGGCTGGAGGAGACGGGCCGGTCAGCACTGCCTCCTCCACAGGGAAGGCTCCGGGAGGGAGGCGGCCCCAGATGTGAGCAGCTGTTGTTTACAGCAGATAAAGCAGAGGGCGAGGGAGGAGAGACACAAAGAAACATGGAAGCAGGGAGAGGACAGACGGACGCTGGAGAGGACAGCTCAGGGGCCCACAGGGACAGGCCTGGACACAGAGAGAGAAGTAGGGCTGAGGAGCAGGGGTGAAGCATCCAGACTGGTGGCAGTGGTGACACAGAGAAGACAGACATGGCCAAGCCAGCAATGCAAAGCCCCCAGGAATGAGGGAGGAGGACAAATCCAACCATGGGGGCTTGGCCTTGGCACCCTGAGGGAAGTCAATTTTCCAGCGGAAAAGCACCGCTATCTCCCCGTCTCCCCTCCCCCATTTCTACTCTCCCTCCCACTCGTGGGACCCGAGCCTGGCAGAGCCCAGGATGACTCAGAAACATGAAACATGCTGGAAGGTTGCAGCAGCCTGCGGGCTCTGGGCTCCTGCCTCAGCCTCGCTGCTCCTTCCTCCCTCCCAGGGTAAGAGTACCCGCGGAGGGGCTGTGGAGCCAGAGACCAGCAAGGGGATAGAGGCAGAGGCCCAACAGGGCTTGGGCCTTGGTGCCAGGCGCTTTAATCCCTCCCATATCCCCATTTTACAGACAGGGGATATATGACGTGGCAGATCCATGGCCCCGACCCAGTTCTAAACCACTGTCCCAGCCCAGTGGGGGCTGGGTCTGCACCAGGGCACTCATCACCTTGCCCCCTTGTTAAATTTCTGCAGGCAAGGTATGGTGCTTCATTGTAGGTGGCCCATTCTGTGATGTCTTGCCTACTGTCACTATCTGGCAATCCCCCTTAGCATGTAGCCTGAAACCCTTATGCTGCTGCTGCTTCATTCAGCTCAATGCCCCTCACTTTGGACATGGAACTCAGAGGAAACTCTGAGTCTGTGGACCCAACAGCTTCCTCTGAATCCTTCATTCCCCAGAGCACCTCCTCCAGGAAGTCCTCCTGTTTCTTCCCCCCAGCCCACCTGGGTCTCTCCTGAGGCACTGGCAATAAAGGCTGCACAGATTCCTCGCCCTTGACCAATCAGGGCACCTGCTTCTCCCCTTTGTTTCTTATTAAATAATATTCTCTGTCTTCTATTGCTTCAAATGGCTTGATACATATCGAGTTTCTGAATGGTTAGATTCCCCCAGGACAAGGATCATCCCTCTCTATCTTTAATTAATTAATTAATTAATTAATCCATTTCTTCTTTCCTCCCTTCCTCCCTCACTTCCCACGTGCAGGGAGCACCTGGGTGGTAGGGTGAAGCTGGCATGTCAGGGTCCCTGTGGGGCCCAGGGCCCAGCACAAGGTCAGACAAATATTTCTCAGTGCCTACTGTGTGTCAAGCACTGTGCAAGGATGGGCAAGGTAGACGGCATCCCTTACGGACCCTCAGAGTACTGGGGGAGACATCCACGTGATGTCATTACATGTGAGTCGAATGAGTACAACTATGGAGGGCCAGACTGGTAATGTTTAGACAGGCGGCTGAGAATGGATGTCTGGAAGAGAGAATCGGCTGATCTGACTGGGGTGGGGGTATTTGGGGGCCTCTGGGCTGACATTCTCAGCCAATGGGCTGACTCCCCAAATCACTTCCTGGCCTCCTGCATGGGCAGATGGGAGGCATGCTGCCAGACAGCACTCTGAGCCTCCGTGTGTCTCCCCAGAACCCCAGCCTGGTCTTCATCAAAGAGCTCGCTGGAGTCAACACCACACAGCTGCCACCCTTCACCTCCAAGAGCCAGATCCTGGACTGGGCAGCTGCAAAGGGCCCCATCAGCTCTGCCGCTGAGCTGGACGACCCCCACAGCATCATCCTGCATCTGGGCCAAGGTGAGGCTCCCCGGCAACCTGCCTGGGCCTGGGCTCAGCTCTGCAGGGACCTGAGCTCCTCTGGCCCATTCCTCAGACTCGGACACAGCGAGTTAGTCCTCTTTCACCAAATATCGGATAGGACCGTGTGAAATACCAGTTTTTTCACCTAAAAAATAGCACTTTCTTTTTTTTTTTAATTTATTTATAATTTTTCTTTCTTTCTTTTTTTTCTTTTTTTATTTTCCTCAACCACACTGGAATACAAGCACTTTCATATTATTTATTGTATATGAACTATGTGCCAAGCCCTATGCTTGGCACTTGAGGACTCTGCTGTCCTGGAGCTGATGAGGAAGATGACAATAAACATACACACAGAAAAATAAATGCTATAATTTCAGGTTTGGGTAAAAGCTGTAAAAGATTAAAATGGGGGGATGTGCTGGGTGGGTGCGGGGCTGCATCCTAACACGTGCCATGGGCTCAGCCCGGATGTTGACCCTGTGTTGACAAATGAGGAAACGGAGGCCCGCGGCTTGCACACGGTCACTCGGCAGGTAAGTGGTAGAGAGGAGATTTGAACCCAGGTCCTCCGATGCCTCTCCACCTTTGGGGCTCCATCCTGCCCACGCCCCACCACCATGCCTTTGGCTGTGGGCGAGAGTGAGGCTCTGTGTTACGTGCCGGGTCGCTCAGGGAGGGGACTGAGGTGCGCTTGTCTCCACAGCCCAGGGGGCACCGTCCTACTGCCTGCCCGAAGCCCACCGGGACATGGGCGGCACGCTCGAATGGCAGCCGCGCACCCCGGCCTTGGTCCGCGGCTGCCGCCTGGAAGGCGTGGCCGGCCACAAGGAGGCGCACATCTTCAGGGTCCTGCCGGGCTCCTCCGCCGGGTAAGGGCGCGCGCCCGACCACGCTGGGCCCCGCCCCTTATTAAGCCCCGCCCCCGCCAGGTAAGGGCGCGGTCGCCCTCACCTATTTCTAGGGCCAGTCCTCAATAAGCCCCTACCGGAGGGGCCCAACCTCGCCCCAGTCCCACCGCAGTCCCCTAGACCCATACCTGGCCAGGTAGCAGTGCAGCCGCTGCCCACCCGACGCCAGGCCCCTTCGCCGGCCTGGCCTGGCTGGGTCAGCATTCCCGCCCACGCTGACGCAGCCACCTGTCCCCCCGCAGGCCCCGGACGGTGACAGTGAAGGTGGAACTGAGCTGCGTGTCTGGGGATCCGGACGCCGTCCTCATCCTGCAGGGGCCACCCTACGTGTCCTGGCTCATCGACGCCAACCACAACATGCAGATCTGGGTGAGTCCTGCAGCTTCCCAAACAGAAAACCCAACTCCCAACCTCCACTGCCAGGCTGCCCCGCGCACCAGCACTCCAGCCCTGACCTGGGTACACGACGGTCCTTCTGCCCCCAGCGCTCTTCCTCTGTGCACCACCTGTTCTTGCTTCAGACCTTTGCCTGGGGCCAACTCCTCCAGGAAGCCTTCCCTGATCTGCTAGGGAGCCCCCAACCCAGCCTACAGGGTCAGGGAAGATTCTTGGAGAGGGGACCCCTGAGCTGAGCTGAAGGACAAACAGGAGCCAGCGAACAGGGGAAGGAGGCCAGGCAGAGGGGACAGCAGGACCCGGCCTGGCATAATCCTGGCCGGCCTGCCGTGCCCCCACCGTGCCAATGGTTCCCTGCTCTGCCTCTCCCCCTGCCGCTAGACCACTGGTGAGTACTCCTTCAAGATCTTCCCAGAGAAGAACATGCGTGGCTTCGTGCTCCCAGACACACCCCAAGGCCTCCTGGGGGAGGCCCGGATGCTGAACGCCAGCGTCATAGCGTCCTTTGTGGAGTTACCCCTGGCCAGGGTCGTCTCGCTTCGGGCCCCCAGCTGTGGTGAGCACCAGCCCCGCCCCTGCCCCGCGTTTCCCCGCCCCTCCCCTGGATCAGCTGCCGCAGCGGGGTGAAGCGCTGCTGTGTGAGCGGGGGTTGGGCACCTCAGCCCTCTCAGCCTCACCTTCCTCACCTGCCACAGGCGGGCGGTGGGTGTAGCTGACCGTAGAAGAGCTCGGTGCCCGTGCACAGTGAGCGCTCAGCGACTGTCCTCCTGGTGCCCCACAGGCGCTGGGCTGCCGACCTCACCTGCGCCAGTCCAGACCACTCCTCCCAGAGACACCTGCAGCCCAGAGCTGCTCATGTCCCTGCTCCAGCCGAAGTGCGCCAACGACGTCATGACTCTGGTACTCAAGAAAGATCTTGTGGCGGTAAGGAAGGGCTTGCCCCTCTGACCCGGGCTGACATGGGCAGCTGGTCCTTCCACTAGCCCAAGAATTGTGGGGTCCTAGCCCAGGCAGGGCGACAAGTCACAGTTTTCCCACTTGTAACATGGGGTCGATAAAGGCACCTACCACGTGGTAAGAATCAGATGAGGTCTGACAGGCCAAGCACTCGGCACAGTCAGATGTGGTGCATACTCAGTGCTCAGTAAATAATGCCAGTACTGGGTTGTTGTTATTTATTTTTTTTATTTCAGCATAGTATGGGGGTACAAATTTTAAGGTTTCAAAAAATGCCCTTTCCCCCTCTTCCCCCCACAAGTCTGAGTTTCCAGCATGACCATCCCCCAGATGGTGCACATGTCACTTGTTATGTATGTATATACCCGCCCCCTCCCCCCCTCCCACCTTCCCAATACTGTATTACTGTAGTGCCTATGTGTCCACTTAGGTGCTGCTCAGTTAATACCAGTTTGCTGGTGAGTATATGTGGTGCTTGTTTTTCCATTCTTGGGATACTTCACTTAGTAGTATGGGCTCCAGCTCTAACCAGGAAAATATAAGATGTGCTATATCACCGTTGTTTCTTAGAGCTGAGGTAGTTGTTATTATTAATCCTAAATGCTTGCTGAGCTGGGTGGTCACTTAACAGAATATATGCACAATGTCGTCTCTGCCCTATTGATAAACAAGTATATTTATTATAAAAAAATACATGCATTAAAAAATATGTAAAAATTAGAAAAGAAGAAAAGCTTAACCTCTCCACCCAAAGACAATGGCGGCCAATATTTTGGTGTGTTTCTTTCTGGAGTGTTTTCTCTGTTTATTTCTTGCATCAGTGTAATCACAAGGGGTGTGTTCGTTAGTCTCCTTCTATTTCACTTACTGTATTTTTAGAGCTTTGACATCTGTATGTAACATCATGGTTAATAAGCACATATTATTCCATCATATTGACATGCTGTAATTAACTCCTCTTCCCTTATTAGACATTTTAGGTTGTTTCCAATTCCATAATGTTATAGATAGGGAAAATACATCATTGTATATGAAACTTTTTTTCTATAGGATTATTTTCTTGGGATAGATTTCTGAATTAGTGGATTGCTGGGTTAAAAAGAGTGAAGTGGCTGGGCTCAGTGGTTCATACCTGTAATCCCAGTACTTTGGGAGGCCGAGGCAGGAGGATGGCTTGAGTCCAGGAGTTTGAGGCTGCAATGAGCTATGATGATGCCACTGCACTTCAGCCTGGATGGCAGAGCAAGACCCTCTCTTGGAAAAAGAAAAAAAAAAAAAGAATGAAATTTCCAACCCACTTTCCCAAGGATGAGACTGCTTCTCTCTCTCCAAGCTATAATTTAAAAAACAAACCAAACCAAAACTCTTTGCCAATGTGGGAGGTGGAACATGATGTTCCATTCTCGTTTTAATCTAGAATTCTCTAGCGAGTTGTGAGTGTGGGCTCCAGGTGAGTGACAAGAACCTGAGTCTGTTTATCATTAGGGCTGGGTATTTTTCTTGATGAATTTTATAAGCTTTTTACATAAAGAAAAAATTTTCCCTTTGTCCATCATTTCCCCTGATTTGTTCCAGTTCTTTAAATGTTGCCTCCAGTGGTTTTTAATTTTTTGGACATAGAAAGAAAATTGGGTTATCCTTGCTGCCCATCTTCCCCTGTGTGATTTCTTTGGCCTGAGGAAAGCTCTCTGCCAGAGTTTTGATAAATCATCTCTCAGGGATATTTGGAATGATGTTGAACTCTGTGGTTAAGTCCACAGGGAAGTGTTTTGGGGGTTGGGGTGCAGGGGCCTGGATGAAGGCCCACATGAGTGCTGTCCACCTACCCCTCCTCCCCTGCCTTGCCTGGCCCAGCAGACGTCTGAGAGGTGGAGGAGCTGGTGCCGTGACCAGTGGTGGCCGGTGCTGCTGATGCCCAGTCCCCAGGGAGTGGCACTCCCTGTTTCTCCATCTTGTTGACAGACTGCAGAGCTCCCAACTTTCTGCCCAATTGCTTAACATCTGCTTCCTTGCTGGAAATAAAGAGAATTTATGTCAGGCAAATTGGCCAGATGATCTTTGAAGTGTTGCAAAGTAGGCAAGAGGCAAAAACGACACCTGAGCGAGGGGGAGGGGAAACAGGACCCTCATGCATAGCTGGTGGGAGATGAGGTCAGACCCAGCTCATTAGACGGTGAGTGAGTGACAGCAGCTATTCTAGTGACCACTAAAATTTACCTTGTAAATATTGTCTTAGCAGTTCCACCATCCTAAAGAAACCTTGCCTATTGCAAAAGGATAGTCCCTGTCACATTTTTTTGTGATTGGGAGCCTAAATATCCATCAGTAGGGCCTGGATGAATAAACTGCAATCCATCAATCTCTGGAACATTACGCTGCAGTTAAAAAGAGTGTGGTAAATCCATAAATATAGACACAAAGGATGTATATAATTTATTGTTGGGTGAGAAACTAAGCTGCATCATAAAGGACAGTAAGATGCCATTTGTTAAAAAAGAAATCTGCATATTCTAAGTACATGAAGTTGTATAGAAGAAAACACAAAGAAAATGCCCTGGACAGACTCACCCCAAACACAGAGCATGCTGCCCTCTCATTGACTCATTATGAAATACAGGCCCTGTTTTTTGTTTTTTTAAAAAAAAGTAAAAGGAGTACACTCTAATGATAACAACATAGTAAATCCATAAACCAGTAACATAGTTGTTTATTGTCATTTTCAAGCATTATGTATTGTACAAAATCGTGCATTCTATGCATCGTACAGAGCTGTATATGCTACACTTTGTACGACTGGCGGCACGGCAGGCTTGTTTACACCAGCTTCACCACAAACACTGTAACATCATAGTGGCTATGAAGTCACCGGGTAACGGGAATTCTTTGATTTCATTGTAACCTTACCTGGACCATAGAGGCAGAATCTCACTCTGTCACCCTGGGTAGAGTGCAATGGCACTGTCAAAGCTCACTGCAGCCTCAAATTCCTGGGCTCAAGTGATCCTCCTGCCTCAGCCTCCTGAGTAGCTGGGACTACAGGCATGTGCCAGGACACCAGCTAATTTTTTCTATATAAATTTTTAGTTGGTCAATTAATTTACTTTCTATTTTTAGTAAAGATGGGGGTCTTGCTCAGGCTGGGTTTGAACTCCTGACCTTGAGCAGTTCACCCGCCTCGGCCTCCCAGAGTGCCAGGATTACAGGTATGAGCCACCGCGCCCGGCCTGGGGTCATCTTCTAGACTGCCAGCCTTCATCTGAAAGCAGCTGGAGTCTGTGTTTCAGCAAAATGTTTCCGTTTGCCTTTGGCCTTGTGCGTTGGTGGTGGGGCGCAGACCAGGCAGGGTTAGTCTTGGTACTCACCGGTTCACATACCACTGGCTCAGAAAGTCTTGGAGCAGCACAGAGGTCATTCTTGCAATAGAAGCTTTGCCTCGTGGGTTGCTGTGTTCTTTTTCTTTTGGGAATAAGGTGGGGGAAATGTGCAAGGGCAGTACAGTGGTTAGGACTAGACCTACCTGCCCAGGTACCAATCCCAGCCCCTGACTTACTTGCTGTGTGATCCTGGGCAAATGACTTCACCTCTGTGTGCCGTGTTTCCCAAATCAGTAAGTGAGACTAAGAATGGTACCTATCTCTTAGGGTTGTTGCAAGGATTCAATGAGTTAATGTGTAAAGCACTTAGGACAGTCCTGGCACATAGTAGGCCCTATGTAAATGTTAGGTGGTAGTGGTGTTATAAAAACATTGTAAATGCATATACCATTGGTACTTTAGAATTTTTTTTTTTTTTTAAAAAAAAAGAAAGAAAAGAAAAAATTAGCTGTGTGTCCTGGCACATGCCTGTAGTCCCAGCTACTCAGGGAGGCTGAGGCAGGAGGA